GGGTTGTCTTCATCAAAAGTGAGAGAACTCAATTTAAGCTCACTCACTATAAAAACTTAATTTACTGAGAAAAACTCACCTTTCAACATCATGGGCCTCTATATTTACTGTACTTACATGAAATAATAGTAAATACCAGTCAGAATAAACTTCAGGTGCTTTTTATATATGTTCTTTTAATGTATATGTGTATATATGTTCTTATAATGTTCTTTTTATATATATAAAATTTATGGTCATTTTAAAAATTGTTCTTTCTTCATAGGCTGGTTCCCCTGGGCCAATAAATCCTGCACAGTCACATGGGAAAATACTCACAAAACCAGATTCCCACTGGGAGGCAACAGTCATTGTATCTGAAGCAGAGAATAGTGTTCACCTAAAACCAGAGCTTCAGCAAAAACAGCTGTCAAATAGCACCCCAGCACTTTCAAAGAGCCACCCTCCTCAGGCCCATGTTCGCAATGCAAATGAGCAACTTCCACAAAAGCTGCCTTCTGCACCAACCAAGTTGCACTGTCCTCCATCGCCTCACACGGAGAACCCTCCCAAGTCCTCCACGCCGCACACACCTGCGCAGCATGGTTACCTCTCGCCAAAGCCTCCTTCCCAGCAGCTAGGATCTCCCTTCAGGCCTCACCATTCACAGTCACCTCAAGTTGGAACTCCTCAGCGAGACACTCAGAGAAATTTTTATCCAGCAGCACAGACCCTTCAAGCCAATACTCAGCAGGCAACTTCTGGAGCATTATTTACCCAGACACCCTCAGGACAATCTGCAGCAACATACAGTCAGTTTAACCAACAAAGTCTCAACAGCACGGCACCGCCCCCTCCACCTCCTCCGCCTCCTTCTTCTTCATACTACCAAAACCAGCAGCCCTCTGCAAACTTTCCGAGTTATACTCAGCTGAAAGGTAGTCTTTCCCAACAACCTGTGTTTACATCTGGACCAAGTCAAGCACTTCCTGGCACGAGCCAGCAATCAGTTCCTGGACACCACGTCACTTCAGGGCATTTTCTGCCGTCTCAGAACCCTACCATTCACCATCAAACTGCTGCTGCTGTGGTCCCGCCCCCACCTCCACCACCACCTGCTCCAGGACCACACCTCATACAGCAGCCAAACTCGCATCAGCAGCACTCTGTAGCACATGTAGTTGGCCCAGTTCATGCTGTCACCCCTGGGTCACACATTCATTCTCAAACTGCTGGACACCACTTACCACCCCCCCCCCCCCCTCCCTCCCCCACACCACCACCCCCCGCCCCACCCTTCCACAGGACTGCAAGGTCTACAAGCACAACACCAGCATGTGGTAAACTCTGCACCCCCGCCCCCACCCCCACCCCCTCCTCCAGCCAGTGTTCTGGTTTCTGGGCATCATTCAACATCGGGTCAAGCCTTACACCACCCACCTCATCAAGGACCTCCTCTTTTTCCTGCAAGTGCTCATCCAGCTGTACCACCGTACCCCTCACAAGCCACGCATCACACCACTTTGGGACCGGGACCCCAACACCAGCCTTCCGGAACAGGGCCACACTGTCCACTACCAGTTGCAGGGCCTCATCTCCAGCCCCAAGGACCAAACAGTATTCCAACACCTACTGCTTCAGGGTTCTGTCCTCATCCTCATCCTGGCTCTGTGGCCCTGCCACATGGGGTGCAAGGACCTCAGCAGGCATCTCCAGTGCCTGGACAGATTCCAGTTCACAGAGCACAGGTGCCACCAACATTTCAGAACAGTTACCACGGTTCAGGGTGGCATTAAAATGGACTCCAATAACATTTTTTAAAATGTTCTGTAAGATAAACTGTATATTTCCTATGTACCTATTAAGGTACTTTTTAAAGCTTGTACATGAAACTTTGTATAAAAACAGAAAAAAAACAAACAAACAAACAAAAAAAAACAAAAAACACCAGTGCTCTTTCATTGTATTTTCCCATTTTTGCTTTTTAAAATTCCTTATGAAATATGCTCTTAAACCAGTCGTAGGTATCTTTATTTTGTAAGTGAACATTCCAGCTGTTTTTCTGACCGTAGATCTGATGCTACATGACCTTTAAATTTTATTGTTGCAGTTAAATTCATTTAGTGAATATTTTCTGTATTATTTTATACATACACATTAAGTAACCAGCTAAGGAAAGCACTATGAGGATTTTCTTTTTTTTTTTTTTTTTTCCTGGTCAGCAGTTCTGTGAGTGCATCTTAGGTCTGAAAATGCAATACAGGTTTTTATAATTTGGTGTGGACATGGCTCATTTTGTTTTATCAGTTTTTTGCAAGCAAAATGTAATTTAATGTATAGATAATTTCTAGTGTCTCCTGACCGACTGTAAATACTACATTTCTTTTGCGTATATAATTGCTTCCAGCCCTTTTCATTTGGTATATAGCATTGTACATATGGCAGGTCTTTTGCAAAAGTGTGATCTCTGTGAAAGTAGTACAGTACATGACCTTTCCTTTTTATTTCAAATATGCTGTCACATTGAAGCACTGGTTGGGCATTTTAATTCATGTTAATAAATCACAATTATGTCAGTTTTACTAAATTGTTCTGTACAACTTCTGAGATTGAGGTCTGCTTAATGATTTTACAAAAGTTATGATTTTCAAATATAATTTGTAAGGAAAGAACCGTCCGTTTTCTTTAGTGACTGCTGCCTCCGCTGCACGGCGGGCTACCAGCAGCGAGTCCTGGGTAGTTCCCACAGTCCTTTCCACCACTTGCCTTTTCTCTAGGAGCATGAGTGACTGGTCTACCACTTAAGACCGACATCATACAAAATTAATCCAGACTGTTAATGTATCACACAGTACAGTCCACGCTACAGCTTACCACAGTTGAAAAGAGTATTTTACCCAAAACATAGCAAGACTTAATTTGTACACACACATACTCTATACACATAACCAACTGAAATGCCCCCTGCTAATAAGACTGATAGGAAATCATGTGTAATGCTTAATAAAATAGAATAGTAGAAAATAAAATAGTAGAAAATAAAAACCAAGGGTTTTAAAAGGCATTATTCTGAATATGTCAAATTGAATGAAGAGGGACTCAGGGAACATTTTATTACTGAAAGAAAAGATATCAGTTCTGATTTTCCCCCCCAGTCACCAGCTTTTGCTGTCAGTCTACCTCAGCATTACAAAATAGTAATAGCAGTGACCCTATTTATCATCTTCCGAATATGTGACATAATTTGGTTATAGTACATAAATTTTGTGCATCAGAAAACAGTAAACTTTTTAAATGACTCATATTTAATAGAGACTTAAGTGATGTTTTATCATTTAATTTCCATTTGAAAATTAGTTCTGATGGTATGTGAAAATATAGGGTTTAATCCTAATCACCTTCAAATTTTTGAAGAACATTGGTCAACTTTGCCATTTTTGACGTGTCAATGTTCTTCTTCTTAGTCTGAAAAATGAATAGCGTTATACAGTCCCTCAACAATCTCAGACACAGACCAAAGCTAACTACTATGGAAATACTATATTCGTTCCTTAAACTCACTCTCCTCTATCCAGCATCTTGAAATCATACACTCCCAAAGTAGCCCACTATAGAAGTAATTCAAACGAAAGTTCTTGTGTAGACTGAGGATATTAGCTAAATACAATTTTTGATGGACACACTCTCCTTTACCAAACTTTTAATTGAGAAAGTGTGTGTAGGGTGTGTGGGTGTGTGTGTGTGTGTGTGTGTGTGTGTGTGTGTGTGTGTGTTGGGGGGGAGGGAGGATTAGCATGCCTAAGTAGGCAGATCACTGAGTTCAAGGCCAGCCAGGGCTTGAAACCTTGTCTCAAAAAACAGGAAGAAATGGAAAATTTATCTGAACACGTTTTCTATTCCAGTGAAAGTTCTACTTTTTATTTGTTAATAAGTTATGCATGAAGCAGGGAATATTAAAAAAAAAAAAAAAAAAAAAGTAGATCTCACCTTAACAGTACGTGTCTTTGAAACTTTTAATACCCACTTTTTCTCTGGACAGTTCTATCTGCCCATTTCCAGATTAGCTACTTCTGAATCTGTTCAAGTCATACATTATCCACTGCTTGTAATTTTCCATGCAGATTTCATAGAGGTCTTTGAACTGAAAAGACCCAAGTTGTGATAATGTTTCATTGACATTACTTTGTTTTTTTGTTTTATTTTGTTTTTGATATAGGATTTCACTATATAGCCTTGGCTAGCCTGGATCTTACATAGACCAGGCTGGCTTTGAACTTAAAGATATCTACCTACCTCTGCCTCCCAAGTGCTGGTATTAAAAGAGTGCACCACAACACCCAACCTTTCCATTTACTCTTACCATCATGCTACCAGGAAGCTGATAAAGACATATGGTACCCAGTCTTCTAGAACTCCTTGTATATTGTAAACTAGTTAGAGTATGAATAGAAGCACCACCTTAATATTCTATAGCTTTCTTTCCAACGTGCTAAACTGCAGTAGACGACAAATTTCTCTCTCAAATGGTAAAAATTCCTTCAGCTAGAGAAGACGTAAATATATTCTGTGGTTCTTCTACAAATGTTTCAGTGGAAATCAAGACTAAAAATACTGTATAGCCACCGTCCATCATGGCATGTACATGGAAAGCCACAGGCTCACTAGAAGAACTCAGTAGGCATAGTTCATAAATGAGTGGCACCTTCTACCGCAGAGCAGTGTGGGGCACAATGCTAACCCTGAGAGGAATGTGGGTCTTGTCCCCTCGGAGTGAAAGACGGAGTGGGATGGAGAAAACCACTGCACTTAGAAAAAGACCAACCACATTCTACATAATGAAGCCATGGTAAAGCCTCATTCATGAAATGCATTCTGCCCCCAAACCACCAAGGGATTTCCTGGTAGTAAGCTTTAATCTACGTCCTGCGACTTCATGTGCACCTCTTTACTTTGGTGGCATTCTCCTGAGAGTAAATGTGTGCTGATTCTGTCTTCAAATACAGGACAATAACCAAGCAATGTCTGGAAAAACCCCAAAACACTTTAATGTTTTAAGACAAGTGCAAGCACCCCAAACAAAGGATTATTGTTACAACACTTGTTAGCTTTTCACAATCTAATTATTGCAAAGGCAGATGGATAAATGTTAATGGACAAAGTCAAGAAAAACGAGGCACCTTAATAAATTTTTTTTTTTTTAAAAAAAAAGACATTCAATCCACTGACTTCTAAGAGGTTGAATATACCTCTCTATGTTACATTCTAAAACTGTATTGCCTACTAATGGTTTGTATCCTGGATTCTACAATTAATTTTAAGGAAATGCATAAACTAAAACTGTATGCGGGCTACAAAGGGAAAATAATTTTCTCATTCATGGAAAGACAAAAGGCGAGGAAAACTGCTGGAGCAAGTAAAGCTGCCTATGGAATGAACATGATCACTGGTACCTTTAAGCTGTGAGGAGTGTTCTGTCCACTGCGTTGCAAACTGTATAAGCCACACCTTGTGTTTTAGACAAACACGATCATGCTTTTCCAAAAATATATTATTTTTTCATTCCACACACTGAACATATCTCTCTTGTCCCAATTTTAACCTACGTGTTTAACTTACAGTGCTGGTAAGAGGCAACACTACACGGTACTGGGCCATCACATTTTAAGGGGAAATGACTTAGACTTTAAAAGTAGTTTTAAAAATATGCAAAATACAAATGGAACTGCTAGATTATAGTGTCAGTTTTTGAATGAGAAGCAAGTTTTTCTTCCTTTAAAGTGCCACAGAGGGCATGACACCTAATCCAAAACCATACGGACTGTTATGGAATGAAAAGTTTGTTTAACTTCTTGAAGCAGTGGAAATCTGCAACATGCAATGTAGGCTAAAAAGCACTCAGGACTGAGTAGCTTTTCTGAATGTGAATCCTCATCCCCTATTTATGCAAATTAATAGTTACATACACTATAATACAGGAATGATTTCCCTTTGCCAGAAGATAAAATTGTACATTTCCTTGCTCTTTCTTGGTTCCAACTGATAATTTCTTAAGATTGTAAATTATATAATACTCAGCTAAAATATGTCTTCATAAATAGTTACAAAACCTGCCAAAACACAAGGGGAAAGTATTTTCGTTCAAAAAAAAAAAAAATGACATTTGAATGTCACACAACACAAGAAACAATGCTTAGAGACATGTTATTGTTTCTAGAAGAAAATGGCCAGTAAACTACTTAGCTGAAGACAAAGCCTACCCTTCCTCAGGATCATGGCGCACAGGAAGCAAAGTGTCAGACAACAGTACCTCAAAGCAAAACAAAGGTCTGAGGGTGAAGCCAGCTCACTTGTAATCCTGTTAAAGAATGAGAGCCACTGTTTAGGTCCAATGTACTGGGAAACATTTGCTAGCTCAGAATGCTATATTTGTAGAATCTGCTAAGAATTCAACCAAGGATGTCGAAGGCATTCGCCAGCTGAGGCTCGCTTTTCTGGAACCATCTCTAACATTGGGATCAGGAAATCTGTAAAGTGTTCAGCATCTTCATGGGGCCAGCCATACTTTTCCACAAGTACATCAAAGAGGCTCCAGGGCTTCAGCTTGGTGATGTGCCGCAGTTCTCCTGCAGAGAGAGAACCACAGTCACAAAAGCTCCAGATTTGTACGTCTCTGAATTTAATTGATCCAGACAGGCTTTTTTGTTTCAATGAAGCAGGCAATCTACTTCTCAACATCTTACGGAAACACCAACTTTACACATCCAGAAAACTGTACCAGCTGACTGCCAGTCCTTTACCAGGCCTGCAGGGGCATACTGTCAGCTGGTGGAGCCCAGCGTTCAAGCCCTGGCACCACACTGGTATGTCTTCTCTTTCACACGCTGTAACAGAACCTATAAAGTGCTGTGATCACTTGCATCACAAGCCTGGACTATTTCACTCATTTATGCAAACCAAATTAGAAACCCCCACCATACACACTTTCAAACCCTAACAAAAAGGTAACATTACTTACACAAGAAAAGAAAATTAGGAACCCCAGCATTCCCACATCACCGTCACCCACAGCCCTTTCCTTCCTCTATAGCTCAGTGGCCACTGGCTGTCTACAGAATTACCTGTGTATGCTGTACACAGGAGTCCATAAAGAAACTGGGAATTGTTCCTGGCTGAAGGAGTACGGTAACCAGCTCTGTTAGAGCCCAGCTAAGTACTGCTTTGAGACTGCAAATCAGGTCTCTTGGTTTAACAGGAAAGCAAAACCACGGTTTCAGCAGTGAAAAAAGAAGGCCTTCGAATAAAACAGTTTATAAAAATCAAGCCCAAAGACTGGTGAGATAAGTAAATGGGCTTGCCACCAATGGTGCAAGCTTGATGACCTGAGTTTGATCACTGGAACTCATGTAAAGAAGGAGAACTGACTGCACAAAGTCATACATGCCACCCAACCCCACACATACATCATACATGAGATAGTAAGAAAATGATAAAAATTTAAAAACAAATCTGAGCAGTCATTGAAGAACTATCTCTCAATCCCCAAAAGTCTAGCACTAGGGACCTAATCAAAGGAGATGAACCCTGGTTTCTCTTCCAGTGCCCAAATAAGGTCAATGTTAGGGTGGTGGCTAAAAAGGCCAAATAACCAAGGTATATACATGTAACGAAGTCAATGTCCATAACAAGAAGCACATGGTGTAATAAAAGTCTCAAGACTATGTTCTACAGACAGCCAGAGGACTGACCTAAAATACCAATGAACATGGAAAGCAGCTGCATCAGAACACAGCTCCGCAGGCAGCAAACACCCCAGGTGTATTTTCAGTAGTTTCATCGCTGGTCGAGAGGGACTATGCCTCAATCTAACAGTTAAGAGAGGCTGCAGCTCACACACGATACCGATATATTTCCTCAGTAAAAGCAGAAACCTTCTTGACATTAAATTATTCTGTCTTGGCATAAATAAGTTTGCAAATGAATCTAAGTGCTGGCAAGCACTGTCTGCCAGAATAGAAGAACGTACTGAAGCTTATTGGGCTAAGAACCTTCAATGGACACCAAACTGAGCACACTCGTTCCTCTGTATGTATAGAAGCTGGTTCCAGGACTGCACTCTCACCAACAACCCAAGGATATTAGACACAGCTCTCACTGTGTAGCTGAGAATGGCCTAGGATTAACAGTCTTCTTGTGCTGGGGTTATAGGTCTCCACCCGACACAGGACACTTGCTGCTACACTGTAGCTCTGGACACAATGCAAACACCATAGAAGAAGTTATATTCTACTTTGGGGGATGGGACAAAGGAAACTACAAATATTTATAAATGTATTTCTGCTCTGATGCTGACTACATTCTTTGATAAGGAACAAGAGAAGCTAAAAGATGCATTGTCATCTCTGTGAAGCAGCACACAGTGGGGGCAGGAGGACCTGCGAACGGCACAATGAGCACTGGTGTGATACAAAAAAAAAATTACACAAATGGGTCTCTATGACGAGTGACATTCAAAACCAGCTGTGCTAAAACTCCCTCCAGCCTATGCGCATTTACACATCCTTGAAATAGAAATGGGTTTCTCATTTGAACTTGTGTACGGTTCTCAAGATAGTTCATCATGTCTACGTAAATATTCCAAAATCTGAGGAAATCAAAAACACTTCTGAACCCAAGAATTTTGGACAAGGTGTATTCTGTTTGAATGACGGCAATTACTATTTACAGCAATTCTGCTTTTCTCAGACAGCTTTAAACTGAGTACCAAACTCCTTCAGTCGGAGCTAGAGAAACTCAACAGTTAAGAACACGCCTTGCTCTTGCAGAGGACCCAGGTTCAGTCCCAATATCCACATGATGGTTCTCAACCATGTGCAACTCCAATTCCAGGGGACCGTTCTCATCTCTGTGGGCATCAGGCACACGTGTAGTGCTCAAGAATGCAAGCAGGCAAAACACACGCACAGAAAAGGAACCTTAAAGGAACAACAACAAACCCCCGCATCATCTGCAGAGTCTGTGGTGAATGCCTTCTGCTGCTGCAACGCTCTGCCGCCAGGGAATGCAGCAGCCGCATGCATGCCCATCCTCTCTGCCTCAGTGGCCCTGAGAGCAGTCATGCTAGAATGGCTCTAGGCTTTTTTCTTTGTTTTCTCTATGTTCTTCATTGTTGCTAAGTCAGCCTCACACTCAAAGCTTCATCCTCCCCAGTTTGCAGACACAGCAAGGTGCTCGGAGGCTACCACTTACATTCCTAAAGCACTGTGACACCCCCAGTGTGCGCAGCTGGAAAACTCAAATGAGTGCTAGCATGAAGCCTGTTCGCTCCAGCGTGCAGAGCCCTTTGCCAACTGAGGTGGCTCAGCTCCTCACAGCCCTCACACGATCAGCTACTTGTGAGGTAATCACAGAGGTTAAGTTTAAAACATCCTCAGGTTTCAGCTCAAATATTTAACTTACAAACACATACTACAAAGTGGATTTTGAGTCCAGCCTGAGATGTATACAACAAGACCTTGCTGTGGTGTCTGCAAGGAGATACAGTGTTTCTTTTAAACTCACCTCCTGAGGCCCCACATTCTGTTTTCAAGGCCTCCTCACTATCTTACCTCAGACCTCAGCATCAGGATGCTGGTGACATGGAGATCCTTCCTCTAGTGTTGCATGGAAACTTCTTTACTGCACTTTGGACATTTTAAATTGAATCTCATTACGTCTTTGAATTTTTATGAACACCTTTCTCATGTGTGTGAGCACTTTGCTTGCATGCATATCTGTGCACTACACGTGCCTGGGATGCACGGAGCCCAGAAGAGGGTGTTGAATTCGCTGGGAACTTGAATTGCAACACTTGTGAGCTCCCAGGAGGGTGTTGGGAATTAAACTCGGTCCTCCACGCTGGTAACTGCTGAGCCATCATTCCAGCCCTTTTATTATATCCGTACATAGCTGTTTTGTGTGTGAGAGAACGCAAGTACCACACACATAGAAGTCAGGAAATTGTGTCAGCATAGGGTTCTCCTTCCACCTGAGTTCTGGGGGTTAAACTCGCGTCATTAGGCTTGGTGGCAGGTTTTAGCTGCCAACGAATCATCTAAGTCCTGAATTTAACGAAGTCTTAAGAGCTCTGTCAGATACAGATACTCAGTCAGATGTATCCCAGTGTACTTGATGGCCTGTGCAGGAACAAGTTGACGTAGCCTAGCTCCTTTGATGCAGCAATTTTCAACACAATAAATTCAATAAAACAATGGTTACACATGATACAAAGAACATAGCCCAGTAACGGCCACTGATGTACTCACCAACCCCAGGGGCTGCCACTCACTCCTTGGGGAACAGGACAAGGAAAAAGTCCAGAGTGTTGCTGGTTCCTGCGGGGCCACATCTTAACACTCTGGTTTCCGGTTTGAGACAAGACCTCACTATGTAGCTCAGGCTAGCCTTCAACTCCAAGTGAGTCTCCAACTTCACTCCAATTACCACTCTGCCTTTTTAATGTTTTCTTTCTTTCTTTTTTTTTTTTTGTTTGTTTGTTTGTTTGGTTGGTTGTTTTGTTGGTTGGTTTGGTTTAGATTTTTTGAGACAGGGTTTCTCTGTGTAACCTTGGCTATCCTGGACTCATTTTGTTGGGCTCACTTTACAGATCAGGTCGGCCTGGAACTCACAGAGATCCACCTGCCTCTGCCTCCCCAACTGCTGGGATTTCAAGTCCCACTCACCACGCCCACTCCCTCTGGTTTCTTAATGGTTTTCACACTCGAGAAATAAACAACAAAATAGGTAACAGGAGGGACCACACCGCTTGCTCCAAAATGCAGGTCAGATTCTACCTTGTGGCTGAGGAATGACTCAAATTAGCCTGGTTGTGACTTCTAGAAGTAGACGCAGGAAAAAAGACCAGCTGGCTGCATCTGATGCTTAATTTTAACACATGAACCCCCACTCTCCTCCTCAGAGCAGCTGTGGGGGGCGAGGGGGACCTCACTTAGGATGACAAAGAGCAGAAAGACTGTTAGCAACGATCTTATGACTCTAACTGCTGTAAGCATGACTCAAAGCAGAACAGCAATTCTACAGCGTGCCTTGGTCTTTACCAACCGTGGCATAGTGGCATACTACAAAAACTGAATGGATATAGATTGTACATTGGCATGGTGGTATATGCCTTTAATCCCAGTACTCAGGAGACAAGAGGGAGGAGGATCACCTTGAGTTTGAGCCTAAGCGTGGTCTACATTGCCCATCATTTAAAAACAAACAAACAAACAAACAAACAATTCCCTCATACTTATAGACATACCTTCCTGACAAGCCTTCAGCACTCCCGTTATCGCTGTAGGTTCTGTCAAAGTCCAAATCTCTTCCAATTGCCACAGGCATTACAAACAACCACCAGAAAGGGGGCTGAAACCCAAACTCCTAGTTGTCTTAAGGGATTTCTGACCCCATCACAAAGTCTCTTATATCCAAATGAAGAGGAAAAAGCATTCTAGTTACCAAAGAAACTAGTTGTTTTGTTTTCTTATTCAAAGGAATGTTAAAAACACAGGATGGTGGTTTACGCCTGTAATCCCAGCATCTAGGAGACAGAGACTGGAGGATCAAGAGTTAAAGCCAAGGGCTAGAGAGATATCTCAGTACTTATAAGCACTTATGTTGCTCTTGCAGAGGACCCAGGTTCTATTTCCAGCACTCACATGGCAGCTCAAAACCATCCACAACTCCAGGCCCAGGGGATCTGATAACCCTCTTCTGACTTCCCTGAACACCAGGCACGCACACAGTGCACACACATACTGTAGGCAGAAGTCTGCAGAAAATACAAATAAAGTAAATAAATCTTAAAAGATAGTAACAGTGAAACCCTGTTTTAAACATCTGAGATACACACACACAGAGAGAGAAAAAGAGCCAGAGTCAAAGAGAGAGAGTATGCAAGAGCGGACACTAGCTTTCTCTTTGCAAATCACCTTCAAACAAGCTGCTCATAAAGAACCCATGCACTTAAGTCCTAAAGCATGAGACTAATGATGGCAGTAGACATACACCCGCAAATGTCCCAGGAGAAAAAAGGCTGTGCTGACATGCCCATGCGAACGTGCCACAGTCAAAGGGCCACAAGACAACTTCATCTCCCTGAAACCATCCATCTGGGCACCTGATTTTCCAACCATCCTTCAAGGCAGGCTCTTCCAAATGGGGAAAAACAAGGTGCCATTGCTGCTGTTAGTTCTGGGATGGCATTCAATAGAAAGCAAATTAATGGCTTGAAGCTCCAGGCCAGCTGCCAACCATAAGAAGCCCAAGAGCTCAGTGGGTCATGGTTACACACGTCTGTGGTTCCACCACTTGGAAGGCTGAGGCTGATCAGAGCACGACCCTGCCTCAAAAAGAAAGAAGGAGCTGGAGAGATGACCAAGAACACTGTCTGCTCTTCCAGAAGACCCAGGTTCAGTTCTCAATGCCTACACAGCAACTCAAAACCATCTGTGACTCCAGTCCCAGGGTATCGGATACCCTCTTCTGTAGGCACATTGTACCCATGTGCACAGACTGCAGGCAAAGTACTCACATGCATAAAATAACAAGGCAGAGACAGGCAGACAGAGACAGAGGGACAGTGAGATGGCTTAGCAGGTGACACTGGTTCCCATAAAGCCTACTGACTTTGGTCCCTAGGAATCACTTGGCAAAAAGAAAATTCCTGCAAAGGTATCCTCTGATGTCCACATACACACCATGACACCCATGGCCTCCCCAATAAGTAAATAAATAAATGTAATTTAAAAGGAAAGATGAGGAGAGGAAGAAAGAAAGAGAAGTTCAAATGAAACAACCTGGACTGGACTCTGGTCCACATGTGTGGAGGGGCCGGGGACAACCAATGGTGTTGACCTTTAGCAGCCATTCACCTTCCTTTGGGCCCAGTCTCTCTACTGGGGCCTGGAGCTTGACAGCACTAGGCTGGCTAGAGAAACCAAGGGACCCAACTTTCCGTGTCTTTGGCACTAGGATTACAAGTGCACATTAACAACACACCTAGCCCCTCCATTTACATATATGCACCCCCATGAACATACACACAGGCACGTACGCGCACGCACGCGCGCGCGTGCGCACACACACACACACACACACACACATACAAACACACAACCCCATAACACAGAAAATGAGATCTGGTTATGTCCACAGGGGTTATGGGTCTACACAATGCCAAAGAGCTCAGATGCCCAAGAAAATGCCCAAGGCCTCTAGGCTGCCCTTGTGAACAATAAAATTAGAAAGAGAAGTCTAGCTTTGTTGGTTGGTTTGTTTGTAATCTAGGCTGGCCTCGGACTCCAACCTCAGTCTCACGAACACTAGGATTACAAGGACGATCCACCATGCCCGGCTGAATCTAGTTCTTTTCAAAACTCACTTGAAGTTCTTTCTACAAATATTTAAGTACACAGATTGGTGCTTGGAATTGAGAGGTAGTGGTCTGAGAAAGGACGGTTGGAAGCCTGTTTTTTTTTTTAAACAGAGTAGTCTCACTCCATAGATACCAGGTGGTTCCAGATTACTTTCTGAGTACCTTCTTCAGCAGAATTCCGCAGCTGAAAAGTCTTGGTCTTTCCCACTGCTCAAATAGGAATGCACAACGTCTCCTTTTGGGAGAGTACTGTGCTGACAATTAGTGTTGCAGAAATACCGTTACCTTTTCTGGTGAAAAACTCCTTGGAGTATTTCCCCACCATAGCGTATTTTCGAGGAACTTTCCCCAGCAGTTCAATGCTCAATGCTATGTGATCTGCACTGGGAATATTGCCAGCAAAACAGAAACACACGACAGTTTAATCAGTACACTGCATGCAGACACTATTACTGCCCGCACAGACAGAAACGGAGCATGACCTCAACGACCAACACCAGCTTTTGTCCAGATGATTCACAACTCAGAGCTAAAGGGCACCCAACTGTCCTGGGTACCAAGAAGGGAAAGAGCTAGTGGACAGGGTGACCACAGCACAGGCCAGATTCAGTCTTCTGTCAGCATCTGCACCAGCACAGGCATTCTGCTCGACTGCTTTTGGAATTTAGAAGACATGCTTTGGTCGCCATTAACACTGCTTCTGCAGCTATTCCATTTCTGTCTGCATCGTGGCACTTTTCAAAGAGAAGAGGTACTACCTCTGCGATTGAAGAATTCCCGAGAATATTTTCCAGATAGAGCAAAGTGCCTTGGGATACTGCCTAGCAGCTCTATGATGTGGGCTATGTGGTCTATGAGGAGAGAAAAAAAAGGATATGGGAGTGGGGAGGGTAAAGGGAAGGATGGGATAAAAGAAGAGGGGAAAAGTGAAATTAGTAAAAAATCAGCAATAGATTCAAATCAACAATGTCTGCAGCACATCCATGCAGAGGCTGGTGGGACTGGCAGGCCTCAGACACCACTGGAGGACCAGCAATGACTGATGCCAGCTCACCCCAGGCCACCCCAGCATTGCAAGCAAGGAAGCATGAAGATGGTCAGGTTTATACAAGGAATTCAAGCCTGAATTCCCTGGTTTTCAACTGAGCTCCCAAACAGGACAGCAAAATGGGCAGCAGAGCTGTGGACAAAGGAAGCACAGACTCCTGTGAGCTCAGGAACCAGCCCTCAGCCACCGTCTGGGCTCCTTCGACCAGGAGGCCAGAAAAGCCGCAACAGGTGGGCACTGCCCATTCACTGGCACTGAGGGGGCTTCAAACTCAAAGGAAAAGCATCTGAATTTGTTGTCTGAAAACCAAAGCATGGCTCTGTTTCAGTAAAACAGCAATACTCTTTTAGGGGGTCAGGAGGGGCAGGAGGGGCAGACCCTCAAGGCACTCAGCGGGCAGCAGCACTCACCTTCATCCCTGGAATAGTCTTCCCCAGAATGCGGTTCGAACAAATAGTCTCCTGTTGCCAGCTCAAATGCCTAGGACACAACAGATGACATGCTGAGCACTTCAGAGATGGTTCAAGAGCCAGCAGCTCTCTCTATGGAGGAAGCCTATATTTGCAGAGGACCACAAGGAGACCAAAGATCATCCTAGAGTAGCTCAACCCCTAGTTTTCTTTTCATCCAGAAAAGTCCACAGAAGCTGCGGAGGTATTTTAAGTGTCTTCTTTTTGGAGAGGGAAGGGCTCTGGCTGTCGTCATGGGGCAGGAGGTGGAACAGAGCCACCCAGGTAGAGGCAGCAGCAGCTCTGGTCACTGCAGCTTCTACACAGAGTGCGGCAAGGTGAGTTCAGGACTCAAGCAGGCCTCTGTGAGTCCAAGGCACATTAGAGAAGACACTGCTGTGCTTTCTTCACGAACTTAGGGTCAAGGACTAGTTCCAATATCTTGCCATCTGTTCATGGCTGATGTAAGCAGAGGAACCCTACAACCAAGAGTCCCTTCCCTTCCAACAGATGCAGCAAATCATCTTGCAGGCCCTCCTGAGATGCAGGGAACACCAATCCTCACACTGCCACTGACTCCCCGTCAGTGCGCCAGTGTGAAGAGAGGCCACTCATTTTCACTTCCTTTGCTCAGGACCAGGAGTTCAATTTTATAAGATGTACAAAGACAGCAATTGCTATTACGCTGATGATTAATTTGTTTTTTAAAGGTTAACTCCCATTTCTAGTCCCTTCCATATTTAACGCTACCATGGTGAAGCTCTTCCTGCCTGCTGATGCTTGTGAACAGGTGTCGATGGCAACATGTCCCCTTTTTTTGAGATTTTTTTTTCCCCACTGCTGCTGAAGAGCCATCACTGAGGGCAGCCCCAACATTACTTGTCCTCTGTCCCTTCTAATGGCCAGAGTGCTGAGAAGGCTCCCTGAGACTCATCTTCCCGGCAGGAGTCTTTAACTAAACTAATGGGGCAGCGGCACACCCTGATTTTTGAAGACATGAATCACATGCTGATTAAAAAATTATGACTGTGCTCAGCTGCCTGTGTGATGAGTGTACACTCAGGACCTCTATCCTGGAGCAGACTTGGTCTAACAGGCAGCATCGTCACCGCAGCAGAACCTGGCAGCCCAGCCCTGCAGCTGGAACAAGGGCACCAGCACAACTCCCAGAAGCCCTTGGCTGGTACCTCACCTAGCCACTCAATTAACAATTAGCAAGCATGGCAGCTGGACCAACCTCTCATAAAGAAAAGAAATATTTGGCCCCAATTTCAAGTGGATGACAGGGTTTCATGCCTGTAAACAATTCAATAACCTACAAGCCAGGAGGCAAGTCTGGAAGCTCTAATAGGATGAGAGGTAAGTTAGAAGCCACTGGGATTCTGGTTCCAAGGAGAGCCCTCGTTGTGCTTTAGTCCTATGCTTACCCCTTTTCATTAAGGCTACCTTCTCATTGTTCAACATTCTTTAAAAGGTGATTATTTTGAACAACACTTGGGTTTCCAATGCAGTGCTTGAAGAAAGATATCAATAAAATGATTTAAAACAAACAAACAAATAGAGAGTGGGGCTGGAGAAATGGTAAAGGGGTTAAGAGCACTGGCTGCTCTTCTAAAGGGCCAGGGTTCAGTTGCCAGCACCCACATGGTAGGCTCACAACCATTTGTAGCTCCAGTTCCAGAGGATTTGATACCTTTTCTGGTCTCCATGGACTCTACTATGCATGAAGGCAAAGCACCCATATACCTAAAATAAAAATAAATCTTTAAAAAAAAAAAAAAAAAAGATCAGGAGAAAGAGGAGGAGGAGGTAAACAAAAAAGAGAGAATGAAAAAAAGAGGAGGAAGAAAGTGGCTCCCAGTACACAGTGACTGGATTTTTTCACTATGACATACAACAAGGAACCACGATGAAAACAATGGCCTGTGGGGGCTGGGGGGTTGCAAATGTTTTAACGCTAGCAGCTGTGGAACTAGGAAACATCACTGCCTTGTACTTACTAAGCTGTTCCCTAAGGCAAGTTCTATCATTAATATTCTATCATTAATATTCTCTTCTTGGTCTAGTCCCTTTGGAGGGCTTTCTCCTAGGTCACTGTTCTCAGCTCCAAGGCGAGCACGTGCCTCTTTCTCTGCTCTGCCTAAATAAAGGCATGATGTGCCCACTGCTGAAGAAATCCTAGTGGAGCTTGTCAGAATTACGATTTGCTTTTTAAATTCCAATCATGATCAGGACTCATGAGGGAGACATAAGAGCTCACCCATTTGGACAAAGTCACCTATGTACAAAGAGGAACTTCTTAGCATACAGTCTTCATGTGGCAAATCCTGCTGCCCTCCCTCACCTGGTTGTATTTCTCCAGCTATAACTTCCAACAGCAGCTGGGGCCCCATCACCACCCAGAACTTCTTGTTCCCAGCGCTGCCTCTGTCAGAGTTAAACCATTTGTAAAACTGGAAGGGCTGTGAGTTCTGCAGTAACAATCCATGGCCTTATCAATGCTGGGCAGTACAAAGGCATAGAACAAAGGCTGGATCCCTTAAAAACACCTATCTCACAGCCACTTGCATGACAAAAACCCTGGTAGCACTGGGGTCACCAGAACTGGTCTCCTGGAAGAAAAGGGGACAGAACCAACATTTCACTAGTGTCTCATGATATAGTCAACTGTTAACACTGTTTGCAATGAGAGTATGGTAAGAGGGTAGAAGACAGGAGGCCAGACAAACAAGCTGACATAAGAGTATGCTGACAGCTCCACCAGTATCCACACACCCGTGATGTTGTCCTAGTTTTCTGGTTCATGTCACTAAAATTAAAAGCATAAGATTTCAGAGTTCAAAGGGTTCTCAGAGCATGAGCTAGAGCAGTTCCGGCACACAGCCCTCTGTATTGCGGAGGACGGATGGAAATTGGCCTTGCCACCCTGAAATGTGGTGGACACACACACACACACACCATCTGTTCCCTTTTCCTTCTGACCTGGCCTCAGCCCCCTGTGGTTTTAGCCTCTCTTTCCTTCTACCCTCACACTGCAAAGCAAAAAGCCTGACCATACAGCATCCTCAAAATTCAAAGTAACTATCACAAGGACTGTGGCTTCTTTCAGCCACAAGAACTTGATTTTTGGTTTTCATTGAAAACCAAGTTTTTAATAATTTAGTTAAGAGGAGTCACTGCTCTTCCAGAGGACTCAGGTTTAGTTCCTAGTATAAACACGGCATCTCAGTAGGAACACCAGTCCCAGGGGATCAGACACTCACTTCTGATCTCCACAGACACCAGGCATGCTCAATGGTACACAGTCATACATGCTGGCAAAACACTTATAAACAAACTATAAAAATTTTAAATGGTTAAAATGCTTTTACATTATCACTTCTGGGCACAAAATACACAAGATTAAAAACAATTGTTAAGTTTTGAACAAGAGGTAACCATATTTATTCTGGATTCTCTTTCCCTCTATCCATCCCTTCCTCTCCAACATTCTCAGATGAATACCAATTAGGCCTTGCATAGAAGCCCTTTCATTTAGACATTCAAAGAAAACGTCTATAAAGAGCAAATACAAAATCTGAGGGTGTGATTCAATTGGAAGAACATCTATCTCTGGGTGTAAATCTCTGGGCTCCATCTCTGGAACTAAAACAAAATGAAGTAATACCAAATAGGATAACATGGCAGCACCAGAAGCTACTGGCATACAGACGCTCCCTTTTCCATCACAGAACAACAAAAAGCCCACTGCGAAGAATGTGCTAAGCTGGTGGGATGCATGGTTCTGGCTCATGAGTGAAGGACACTCAAGATTATCAATTCACAGTTTAGAGCAAATGCCAAGAAGATGCACAAAAGCCTGGGGTGGTGGCTACGCCCGTAATCTCAGCACTCAGGAGGCTGAGGTTTGAAAGCAGCAAAGAAATGAAGCAAAGAAAAAATGTTGGGCTGAAAAACGGCTCAGTTGGTAAAGTGTTTGCCACAGAAGCCCATCAGTCTGACCTCCAGAACTCATATAAAAAGGCTGGGAATAGCAGCACGTGCTTACAAAACCAGCACTGAAGGAGATAAACAAGCCCTGCGGCCCCCTCCACAGCCAGCCTAACCTAAGCAGGAGCTTTGAAGAAAACACCTGAGGAGAACCTGGCCTCCACATGCCTGTGCATGGATGTGTACATGCATCTACACACACCTGTGCACCAGTGCACACGATGGGTGCTGAGTCTGGGTTTAGTTCAGAAAGCCCCAAACTCAGAACATCCAAGTGAAAGGGATGTTCTTGCTGTCTCCCAAGAAAGCATCACTGTGTTCCTAGGGAAACAGGGTCAAACCAAGGAAGTCTGTGCACCATGCTGTCTCAGAAGTGCTGGCACATGCCAGAGAACGAGCCAGAACACTCTGCACTGGCACTTGCATAGCATTTGCAACCATGCACTGACAAATGGAGACGGAGAAAGCTCTTCTGTGTAGGAGGGGAAATGTTGGGGTGCACTGTATGGAGGGGTGGCTCTGTATATTCACTTGTTAGTTCTACAATGTTAGAGAGATATGGCCCATCATCAGTCTCAGATTTTGTAAGTATCCGTTCCTTCCTCAGCTGCCTAAGGCAATCTAGAACTGTACCTGGTTGGTTTTAATAAAGAGCTGATAGCCAGTAGCTGGGCAGGAAGGGGAAGGTGGAACTTCTGGGCAGAAAAAGGGCGAAGATTCAGTTGCAGGAGCGTCAGCAGCAGGATACTGAGATGAGCAGATGTGAACAGGAATAGAGGTAAAAAACTAGCCACGTGGCTGGGCATGGGCTACAACTGCCAGTTTAAGTTAGATGAGCGAGTCAAGAGTCTGTCCAGCTAAAATGCCTAAGCTTTAAAATATTAGTAAGCCTCTGTGTCATTATTTATACTGCTGGCAGATCCAAGACAGCCCTGCTTTAGGAGGAGAGAGAGCCCGCACCTCTGTAGAGGCCACCTGCCACTGACGCAGGTGAGAAGGCATCTGATTTTACCCCCTGTTGTGATAAGGAGCCTGAAATACCTACAGGCCTCCAGAGACTAAAAGCAGTTCCTCGGCTGAGTCTGATTATTGGAGTGCTGGTCCACATAGGGCCTGAAGAAGAGATCATGTCTTGTTAAGACTATACCTCAAGCGTTCTTGAGAAGTCTCCCAATGATTAAAACACCCAAGCACCATCTCCTCCTCACCCATTTACAGTGGAGGATCTTTACCAAGACTCCACCCTGTCAAGAGCATTAGAGAGAAGCCAGTTTCTAGGGCAGAAAGTGGCAAAGGCTGTTCTTACCATGCACGCTGTACTCCAAATGTCTGCAGGTGTACTGTACCCTGCTCCTATCAGCACCTCTATGGACCTATACTGCCGTGTCTGGATATCCTCTGTGAAATGTTTATGCTGGAAAGGAACAGATGTGATAAATATTAAAAATGAAAAGTCTCTTCTCACACAAAGTCACAATTAAGATGCAGAAAGAAACACTACTTACCACCCAACAAGCATTTCCCAGGTCAGCGATTTTTACTCTAATTTTATCTGCATTCCGTGGATCCAGAGGGTTCACCAACAGGTCAGCTGCTCGGGTTTTTGCTGACATGAGCAAAGAGCAAGACAGTTAGCAATGGAGACAGGAGACTTGCATGTATGAGCACAATGCTTGCCAGGTACAGCCTCTTCCTTTTTTTTTTTTTTTTTTTTTTTTTTTTTTTTTTTTAAAGGAGAATGATAGGCTGGGCCTAGACTACTGCAAGTTGAAGCATTCCCCCTGGGCTGTATCCAGCTCATGGTGAAACACAAGCCATCACTTCTAAGCAGCATGCAGTGCGCCCAACACTGTGAGAGCACAGGCACCACACCTCAGCCCCAGCAGCATACCCTACTCCAGCTTCCTCAGCTGAGCACGCAAAGGCATCAAGGGTGAGACGACATCTGGTTAGCAAATATAAATTACAGGCAGGGGCCAATCTTTCATGGCTCAATTTTGAACAAGGCAGATGTCAAATCAGTGTTCTCCTGAGTTGAAGTGGACATTAAGGGCAGACTTTAAGGCAACTCATTAGCTCAGATGATGAAACTTTAGGATGACCCTAGGGCTCTCTACAGCAGGCCCAGCCAAGGGTTTCAAGCTTCAGGAAAGTTCTCAGCTAAGACCTAACTATGCTCTAAGTATGGGAACACCAGCATGTTTATCTTCATATTTAATCTGAGCCCTTAAGTATTTGGACTTTTAGCACACTGAAATGGAATTGCAGCCTAACAGAAAAGCCAGCTCAGTGCAGAACAATAATGCCCTTGTAGGAGGCTTTTTGTTCACCGCAGGCTGCTGCCTAAGGAACCATGGTGCTTGAGGGGGTTTAATCTGTTGGCGAACCCCATACAGGCAGTAAAGCCAGACTTGCTAACAGCAGCGCAGACTAGAGGAGGGCCAACAGGACCTACACCATCTAAGGAATCCAGGGGAGGGTTCCAGAGTCTCAACTCTGCTCAGTCAATGTCTGAACTCTCGTGGCTTTCCCTCAGCTGATGAATCAGAGTGGGCCAGACGAGCACAGAGGTTCTCCTCTTGCCACCTGCCTTATGGCCACTCATGGAAGATCCCACCAAAGACCAGGTAGGAGCTAAGGAAAAGAAACACAGCAACTCAGAAAATGACAGTACGGAAAGCAGCAGAATGACCTAAAAGAGAAGGTAAAAGGTAGACGGGAATGAGAGCAGTGTTCTAGGTAATCACAGCACACTGACCAACTGTGACTACATGAGGCACACCCACACCACCAACGCCCCCATGGTTACCATCAAGAACAGTTTTGTCAAACTGGATCCAAATCTTAGTTTCAACACTGATGAATGTAAGCCTAGCAAATGACAAAGTTGTTGAGACCGTTTTCAGAAAAGAATGAAGAGGAATAACCCTGCCCCTAAAGAAATACAACACACACTCACATTCAAGTCAGAACAGTATCTGGCTAAATGGCCATGATTTGACTTTGCTTTAGGGTCAATGAGTGTGCAGGAATCTGAAGACGTTACACGATGATCTGTGCTAGAGTCAGTAGGTAGCTGGGTTGGTAGGTCTCAGGGTACCAAGAAAGCAGTTAATTGGCTATCTACTACTTTCTCCTTCTGGCTGTTTTTAAATCACCTCCCAAAGCTGTGTGATTCAAGTCCACTGGAGTAAATCTACACGTCTGCACCTAACATTCCTCTCTGACATTAAATATGGCAACATGCTATTATCCTCCAGGTTCAGGTTTGTACATAGCTATTCGGCTTACAGTCTGTCCTAAACAACCACAGGCAATTAATTTCAATAATTTAATTGTATAAGAACAATTCTGCTTGTATCTCTGATTTCCTTTCTTCAAAGTACGCAGGTATCTGGGTGAGGGACATGACTGCAACACTAAAAAAAAAAAAAAAATAGCCAACTTGACTACAAATATATTCACAACTGATGCAAAATCATTCTAAGTGTGTCTGGAATCAGACTGCCTCCTTAGACTATCACCCCCATGGTGACCTGCCATAGCAACAAATGACCTACTGGCACGCTTTCCCTTCCAAAATGAGGAGCTGGTAAATTGTCTCTGCCTCCACTAGAGTATGAATAAAAGTAGCAGGTTTTATTTTAGGAAGCACTAGGATGTTAAGCCACATTCTCAAAGGCTGATCTCTTGTGTCTAGCAAGAAGGTAGGTGACAGTACTATGTATCAGGAGACACCTACCAATGCTCTATGACACCTGCCAGTGCTCTGTGCTGTGCACACGTTTAAAACATCCTAAAACAAAGGTACAAACAACCTCTCTATCTAGAAGAGGGTCATAACTAGGCCCAAGAAAGTGGTAGAACTAGAACACCTACCAATGCTCTATGACACCTGCCAGTGCTCTGTGCTGTGCACACGTTTAAAACATCCTAAAACAAAGGTACAAACAACCTCTCTATCTAGAAGAGGGTCATAACTAGGCCCAAGAAAGTGGTAGAACTAGAACAACCTGACACATTCCTTTGACCTTTCCCTTTCTATATGTCATTATGATTCCAGAACACAGTAAAAAGATTCACTCAAAGTAGAAAACTCGTGTCATACACTGGTTGAAAATATAGGCAATAATAGCTGGGTGGTGGTGGTAGCAGTGCACCTTTATTCCCAGCTTTCAGAGGCAGAGGCAAGTGTATCTCTTGAGTTCCAGACCAGCCAGGACCACACAGAGAAACCCTATCTCAAAAAACAAAAAAGAAAGAGAGAGAAAGGAAAAAAGAATGAGAGAGAGAAAGAAAAAGAAATAGAGAGAAAAAGAAAGAAATGGAAGAAGGAAGGGAGGGAGGGAGGGAAAGAAAAAGAGAAAAAGAGACAGATAGAAAAGGAAGGAAGGAAGAAGGAAGGAAGAAAGGAAGGAAAGTGGGAGGGAGGGAGACAGAAGAAAGAGAAAGAAAGGAAGGAAGGAAGGAAGGAAGGAAGGAAGGAAGGAAGGAAGGAAGGAAGAGAGAAAGAGAACGAAAAAAGAAAGAGAAGAAAAAAGAGAAGAGAGACAAAGAAAGAAAAGAAAGAAAGAGAAGGAAGGAAAGAGAAAGAGAAAATAAAGGCAATATTGTAAGCACACAAGCAATTCATTTAATATGTCAGAAAACTAGATATGCCACAAAGAAAAACAAAACTAAGAAGTATGGCTGTGAATGTTATGTTGAAAAATCTTTTTTCTCTTTTCACATTTATTTATGTTCTGTGGAGGAATCACAGCATTTGTATGGCCATCACACAAATACCTGTGTATTCTGGGGGACTGAATTCAGGCCATCAGGTTTGGAGGCAAGCACCTTTACCTACTGAGCCACCTTGCCAGCCCCCCAAAAAACGTTTCTGGAAAGGTGACGTTCAGGAAAGCATGATGACACATTCTAGCTAAAGAGCTAGGTACTGCAAAGACCCTTATCCACAGTCAAGAGCACAGTTTGTAAAATCTGGAAAGACCACCAGCTGGAGTGGTACAGGGCACCAGCATGCTGTTAGTGATGGATGGATGCCTTCGATATCATGCTATGTGAGGAACAGAAGCTACTTCGATCATCTGAAGAAAGGGAGAAGATGGGATGCGTATTTAAAAGGAGGCATATGTACTTCTACACACTAAGAACCAAGAGCTAAGAGACCAGGCCCACACTGTGGCAGCCTGATCAAGGACAGACTGATGATTAGGAGTAAGGACTCCATATCCACCCAGCAGTCAAATGAAGAATACCATTCTGCTCTATCATGAGACAAGGAATCTCTACTAGCTGCTCTAGGAGCCAATGACAAATCCCATCTCAACCTTCAAGGGCCATCAAACTACCTGGGAGTCTTTCAGCTGGCATCTACGTTCTTCCAACATCACACTTCTGCCCTGGCCTGTCTTGACTACCCCTGATGTGTAAGGCTTGCCTCACACCGAAGCTTGCTCCCAGTGGGCGGTGCACTGCTCTCTCATAGCGTAGGTAAGGGAAAATAAAGGCAACTTCAAACTCAAGAGGAGAGTGGAGTGTGGACTGAGGAACAAAACACCTCAGGCAACAAATGCTTAACTATTTAGTAGTACCCCGAATCTACAGCATGCAGTGTTTACAGAACACATATAGACCATGGTGAAATGCTATCATTCTGAATGTAAGTGGAGGATCACTGAGCTAGACTTTCAAAACAACTATTTTAAAACACAGAGGTTTCCTAATAATTCATTTCTGTGCCTCTGTTGACTGTTCTGTTGCCCGTTGGCACATGCACCACTATGAAGATGACTGCTGGGCTCCATGAAGCTGTAAAGTGTAAAGAACAAGGGAATTTATCTGATTAACATGATTTAAAAAACTCCAGCAGCATCCTGGAAGAGTGATTTGGAGGAAGTCAGGAATGGCAGCTAGAAACAATTCAGAGATGGACACAAGGCAGCTTCTGAAACAATCAGCCAAGCAATGAGCTGTACTGTAGGGCCAAGGCAAGAAGGATCCTAAATTGAGAAAGGCTGGCAAGGGCGTCCTACTTTGCTTTCTGTTGCTGTAATAAAACAATGACCAAACCAACTTGGAGAAGGAAAGGGGTTACTTGGCTTACATTTCCACACCACAGACCATAATTGAGGGAAGTCAGGGCAGGAACTCAAGCATAAACCTAGAGGCGGCGACTGAAGCAAAAACCACAGAAAAGTGTCGTTTACTCTCTTGTTTCCCATAGTTTGCTCAACTTACTTTCTTATACAGCCTAGAGCCACCTGCCCAGGGGTGGCACCGCCCACAGTGAGAGGGGCCATCTCATATCAATCACCAATTAAGAAAATGCCACACAGATATGCCCTATATGGCCTGTGCCAATTTAATGGAAGCAATTCCTCAGCTAAGGTTTGTCTTCCCAGGTAACTTGTTTGTGTGAAGTTGACAAAAACCAGCATATAGGACATATGATAGAAAAGGATGGGAGTGCAGATGTATCAACTCAATACAACAATGTTGTAGTTCATGTAAGCATAACATTATTGTGTAATACAAAAGCTGAGGTCTGTATCCCCCATATCTGGTTGCAAGCCTTGTTCTGAGAACTCCTGCCTTAATGTTGTATAAACTCTGCTCCCCAACTGTCCCCTTGATATGTCAACAAAGCAGCTTATAGTCAATGGCTGAATAGGGGAGAAAAATTAGAAAAGAAAGTAAAGGATTCAGCCAAGGAATTGCGCCACAGGTAGAGGCCCAGGAGACATCAGGAGAGCTCAGCAGAAAAGCTACAAAGTACAAGTATCCTGGGATGTGTGCTGGGAGGAAATCAGATTAGCTCAGAGGGCTAAGGATAGAATATATAACTGCTCAGTTCTTGTGCTGTGAAGCTTATTATTAAACAAAAAATATAGGAAAGGGGCAGGGTGGAGATGAGGGAGGGAGGGAGGGTGGGATTGGGAGGGAATGAGGAAGCGGGATACAGCTGGGATACAGAGTTACTAAAATGTAACTGGTAAGAAAAAAATAAAATTTAAAAAAAAAAAACATAGACTCAATTATGATAGCCGGGTTAAGAGCCAGACAGAAAAACAGACACAGTTATATAAAAATAACTGTAGCAAGTTCAGATCCATATTTGCCCTGCACACTGCTGCCTCACCTACAACAGCTCACAGTATGAGCCAAGCTCACTGGGGATATAAGGACTGGGACAGATCTACTACATTTTCTCCAAGGACTCACATGCTACTGTGACTAAGCAGTTATTAAATGAATAAACAGGAACTGAACCATCAAGGCCACAGAAGCCAAAGAAAGTCATAGGCAGACATAGATCAGTCAGAGAAAAAAAAAATACAGTGTAAAAAAGACAAGGTAAGAACAGAATTCAGGGTACTGCCAACACTTGAGATGTGTAAGACCCAGTAAACTTCCCTGAGTAACAGCAGAGTAAGCAGAAACTCCAAGTGGAGGAAGGCCTGCACTACTGTGGGAGAGGCCGGGCCCAAGCATGAGTTACCCCTTCACTCCTGCAAGACAAAGCAGGCAAAGCAGCTGCACAGCATCCTGCCAATCAAGAGATAAGACCAGTTCCCTCACAGTTCCCAAGTATTCTTTACATGAAAATGATGAGTTTGAATTAAATACTCTTCCTGCAATGAAGTTTAGATTTTTGACTAAACTAGGACATTCCTTTATTCACTCACTCATTACAATTATAAATTCTCTCTCTCTCAAATAAGAATTTTGTTCTGCATATGCCTGCAATTCCAGCACTCAGGGAGACAGAGGCAAATGGATCTCTGTGAGTTCGAGGCCAGCCTGGTCTACAAAGTGAGTCCAGGACAGCCAAGGCTACAAAGAGAATTCTCATTAAAAATAAAAATAAAAATAAAAAATCTGGGGGCTGGAGAGATGGCTCAGCGGTTAAGAGTATTCATTGGCTGCTCTTTCAGAGTACCCAGGGTTCAATTCCCAGGACCCTCATGGCAGCTTGCATCTGTAATTCCAGTTCCAGGGGATCTGACACCTTCACTCAAAAGACATACATACAGGCAAAACACCAATGCACATGAAAGAAAAAAATTAAAAAAAAAAAAAAAAAAAAAAGAATGTTTTTCTTCTCAGGCTTTAACCTATATCTACCAATCTTGGCTCCCAGCATGAATGAATAATAATAGGTGAGAGGTGGAATAAAACAAGAAACCAAGACCAATGAGTTCCTAGCAAGACTATGCTGAGCTGTCCACTGAGCCCAGGCCTCAGAGACTGCCAATGTGGCATAACAGTAACAATTATGCCTGTTAGAAGACACTGCTGCCTTTGCCCAGAACTGAACCTGTATTTATTTATTCTGGCCAAACCAGGGATGAGGCATAAACCATGTACTGCCAAGTAAGCAAAACCAAAGCTAGAACAATGAATTACAGCCAGTGAGTAATGAAGGCGCTGGTTTGCTGCAATTAAAGAGGTTAAAGCATCTCATGACTATTTATTGTGCTGGCTCAATTACTTGCCCTGTGTTCAACACATTCTTGGCAGTAGAGGGGGCATGGGAGGTTACTACACATTTCCATTAAGGGCCAGAAAGGAAATCAGCTGTGATACCCAACTTCCATCCCGTAAGTCATTCTGCAATTGGCCACATGGCATTTGCTCCCCAAATATGGATTTGAAGACAGGGCCCCAGGCAGACAAGAATCTAAGATCCAATCGATAAATCTGTCGTGATGCTTTATTAAACGCAGGGCTCTACAGCCAGGTGGTGGCGGCACACACCTTTAATTCCAGCACTTGAGAGGCAGAGGCAGGCAGGTGAAGCTGAGGCCAAGGACAGGATAACCAAGTTCCATACAGAAAAGCCCTGTCTCAAAAAACAAGCAAGCAAGCAAACAAACAAACAAAAAACACCCAAGAACAATAAGGCAAGGTTCTGTAAACAAAGACAACTATCAGCTACAATGCTATTCTCTCTAGGTACATATAATGAAAGCAGACTGGTGTCCCCTCAAACAGAAAACCTACAGACACCACTGCCAGCCAGAAAAGGGTTGCCTATGCAGAGTTATGAGGGTGTTAATGGTGGAAGACATTTTAAGTATCTGATGTCACTGAATAAATACACAATAAATGAAAACATCCAGGGACAGGATTGCAGAGAGCAAAAGAAAGCCTAGCAGCACATGATACATTTCTAAAGCATTTCATTTGTTCTCGAATATAAAAGCATTAAAATGTAAGGGTTAGTGAGTATTTTCATGGCTCTTCCCCTCTAGTCAACTCCTTTCAGTGTTTATCACAGGTATGATCTTCCCCAGTGAAGGCAGACAGACATGCAAAACGACACTTACTTTTTGGCAAATCTCCAGTGCTAGAGGCTGAAACTGTCCTGCTTCTGTCATGGGATGGACTGCTTTCCTCTTGCTCAGTAAGTGGTGATTCCTCTGAGAGCACAGAGCCACAGGCCACAGGTTCTAAGGGCCCAGAAAACAATGATGTGGAAAACTCTGGGCTCTTAGGTTGTCCGTTTGGCAATTCACCATTGAATTGTTCATAGGAGCTGCCATATGTGTAATCACTCTCTGCATTTGGCTCATCTAGGTTATACTCCTCGGGATTTGCACAGTCATCTTCCTCATCCTCTTCATCCTCCAGCTGCTGTTCCAGTGAAAACGGGCCATTTTCAATATGGCCATTGGCTTTAGGGGACTCCATCCATGTAGGGTCTATGTTTGCAAGTTCCTGTTCAACATCATCTTCATCCTTCTCAGCATTTTCTTTCCCTGTATCTTCTTTCTCTTCCTGGTCTTCAACTTCACCTTAAAGAAGATGTGGTTAAGATTAGGAGTCATGACTTTCCTTGCACAGCAGTACAAGTTAGGCCCTAAAACAAGAGGTACCTTTCTTTACATTTTTCTGGTTTGAGTTTTCTGAGACAGGATTTCTCTGTGTAGCCCTGGCTGTCCTGGAACTTACTGTGTAGACCACGCTGGACTAAAACTCAGAGACACACCTGCCTCTGCCTCCTGAGCGCTGGGATTAAAGGTGTGCTCCATCAACCTCTGGCTAAGAGACACTTCATGTAACACAGAACATGTCTATTGTTTTTCAAGTCTTTCTATTCTCAAGGACGTTAGCTCTTGAGGAAAAATTACAAGTAAAATTGGACTTTCATATACCCCCCACCTTTTTTTTAAAGAGGCTCCTGATCTTCAAGGAGAGCAACAGAAAACAAAACAAAACAAAAAAAAAAAAAAATCTGGGCCCAGGGGTCATTTTTGAGACTGATACTCCAACCAAGGACCATACATGGAGAAAACCTAGAACCCCTGCACAGATGTAGCCCATGGCAGCTCAGTCTCCAAGTGGGTTCCCTAGTAAGAGGAACAGGGGCTGTCTCTGACATAAACTCAGTGGCTGGCTCTTTGATCACCTTGCCCTGAGAGGGGGGCAGCCTTACCAGGCCACAGAGGAAGACAATGCAGCCCATCCTGTGAGACCTGATAGGCTAGGGTCAAAGGGAAGGGAGGAGAACCTCCCCTATCTCTGGACTTGGAGAGGGGCATGGGAGGAGATGAGGGAGGGAGGGGGAGACTGGGAGGGGATGAGGCTACAGCTGGGATACAAAGTAAATAAATTGTAATAAAAAAATTTAAAGATTTTCATTTTAAATTGTGTATGTATATGTGTGTGAACATGCTCATGGTCCCCTTAGAGCTGGAATTACAAGTGATATGAGCAACATGACACTGGTGGTACTGGGAACTGAACTAGGTTCCTATGCAAGACTATTGACCAATCTCTCCAACCATTAACCCTTTCTTCTGCAGTTTTAGAATAAGATTTGTGCTACATTAAAGTTAGGTAAAAGGTTAATCACACAATAAAAGGGTTATCATTAACATGAAAAAGAGATGCATTTCTCAGACATCCTTCCTCCCTTTTTGAAACCAACTTTGAAATGTTAAAATATGCCTAGTAAACATTTCACAAATGGGATGTAAGGTGCTCTCCCATAATCTCCAAGGCAGCAGCACACAGCCAACATGTGTGGTTCTGTGGCTGGAACCTGTGTGCAGTTCCTGGACACCCATCAGGCTCCTCTACTGCTCTAAGTTATACTTACCATTATCCTTTGCTGTTCCTTCCTCAGCTGCCTCCTCTAGTTCTGCTGCTTTTAGTTTCACTTCTGGGTGATATTCACCATCTTGCTCATTGGAAGGACCATCAGAGGTGATGTTTTCCTCTATGATTTTCCTTTCAGCTTCTCGCTCCAGTTCCTCAATCTCCTGCAGGCGTTTCTCCAACAACTCAGCCTGTCTCTTCTGTTTCTTTTTCAGCTTTTTCTTTTTGTTTTTAGATATTTTTCCTATCTACAACATGGTAAGAAAGTGCCATAGGTCAGGTGTTTCTTTTTAAAACACTGTTCAGGAGTATAAGTGTTGGCAAGATGGCAAATTCCAAGTCTGCTTTTTCACGACATACTCAGTTACAGTCACACACCTAGCCAGAAGATCTACCTTAGGGAAGGACTGTGCTCATATGTTAGTCTTCCCCTAGAGGTAGTGTAAGTTCTATAAGAAAGGCCTAGGAGAACAGAGCACCTTGAAATACTTGGCTTTAGGCAGGAATCTTGTCCTGCAAACTTTCCTTGATGCTGCCTATATCCAGAATCATTTCTACTCCTTAACCTCAAAAACAAACACCTGACAAGACAGCACTATGCCTGAGTTTGGCTTATACCGAGCTGTGAACAACAGCCAATATACCATGAACTTTCAAAAATAAGCATATGATATAAAAGGGCAAAAAAAGGAAAAACCACAGTTTCATCTGCCTCAAGCTACACTCTAAGTCTTGGAAAGTACTGGCAACAAGTGCATTCCAAGTTTCATAAAGCCATAAGCCCAAACCCTGAAATTCAGGGGAGAATTATAAGGGGTCTAGGGCTCCCCTGCAATAATCTGTCAGACTTGGAACTTCTCTTCCAAGCCAACTGGTCACAGTGCTTCGACAGGGTCACTGAACAGATAATGTTCACTCTCACTTAAACAGCTAGCTATGAAAAACAAAAACAGTTTTTGGCAAAAAACAAAAATAAAACGCTACTTGGAGGTCAAGCAGAAGCCATCTGAAGACATTTCTGGAAGAATTATATCATAGCTGGTCTAAAACCTTGCTCTAAGCTTGCAATTCACTGACCTTGGCCAACAGCAGCAAGAGCACAGGAAACTGGCCCTGCAACAACTCTGACTAGTCCCCATCCACACAGGGACACAGACCATTTATAAACACGCCCACTTTTAAACTGATAAAGATCAGAACATTTGCTACATTAATTTGTGAAGTTCAATAGTGAACAGTCCCTTTGACATGCTGAATATACGTGTCAATACTTACAGGTTTTTGCTGTGGAGCCGTACTCACTAAAACAAAATAAAACAAAATGGATATTCAGAGGAAAACAGTTAACTTTGGGTAATTTGGTTTTTAAAATGAAATAATACTGTCTTTTTTAACTCCCCAACTTCAAAAAACTTAAACCTCTTAGGTTTCTAAAGACAGGAACTGAGAATAAAGTTCATGCAATTCAAACTGACAACAGACTTCTTAGAGGGCACAGGAGAAGCCATTCACTGAGCCGCTTCTCCTGCAAACAGTCTCTCTGAAAACACTGACACACTGAGAACATGGAGGAAAAAGAAAAAGAATGCAAGAATTTAACAATCAGTCACAGAAGCAAATGTAAAGGCAATGAGCACTTCAGGTGAGAAGGTTGCAGGTGTGTCTGAAACTACCTGGAAAGCACCACACAAATAAACTCAGCCACACAGCACAGCACAGTGCCGCACTGGCTCTACAAGTGGCCGTCCATGTCCCCAAAGTTTCATCAATTGGTTGCATGAGCGAGTATCATAACAACATGGTGGTACTTGACATGAGGTGACAGCACATCTCTCTGGAGCCCATTAGTCACAAGACATCTAGCCCTTTGATCATTTGCTAAGCAACGTGATTATAGTGAAAGCACAGGCAGCACCACCCTGCCACCAATGGATTCTGTGAAATTCACAAGAAAAACTAAGCCAATGCTCAAGTCACCTGGTTCCCTTTCCCCACCTCCCACCTTTAGATCTTTCACAGCTAATATCAACTGTACCAGTTAAACTGAGATGGACGCAGTTATATTAATTTAGAAGACAACAGTTTCATGAAACCTAAATGACTGCAGGTAGGCTATAAGAAACCTGCTATATATTCTCCATAGAGACTTGGACATTGAGGGCATGCACCTATATAGATGAAGCAACAGTTTCATGGACTTTTAGTAGAGGGCAAAAGTAAGGAAATACATAAGCAAAAAAAAGCTCCTGGTACACATCAAACTCAACTGCCTCCAATGCATAGCTTTAAAAGCTCACAGCCCCCAAGGAAACTGAAGCAATGAGGGCTCAGCTCCCTCACCTGCAGACCCAGAGGGAGGAGGAGCACCTGCTTTCTGCCACTCAGTGGCCTCAGCTGCCATTCTTCGCACATATGCATCGTCCACACACATCAAGATGTTTTCCGGCTTTATGTCGGTATGAATTATCTTGCACTTACTGTGTAGATAATCTAACCCTTGAAGAACCTGGTCATAGTAAAGTAAATAAAGAAAAGACCTATTAGTACTCTTGTTATGTAACTTATTCACAAATAATGTAGTTTTTCTATATTATTTTGTATATAAAATGGAATACAATTTTATAAGGCACAGATGGACATTTACTTTAAAAAAATGAATCTCTTCACAGGCAACCAATGTGCATAACTCAGTTATGCTCACAGAAACAAATGAATCTCTCCATATGTCTTTAATAAGAATTTTATCAGGGCTTGAGAAATGGCTCAGTGGCTAAGAGCTATTGCAAGGACCTGGTGTTCGGCTAAAGATATAGCTCAGGGTCAAGGTTCAGTTCAAAGCACAGCGTGAGACTGCTCACAGTCACCTATTGAAGTCTTGTTCCAGAGGATCTGGTGCTCTTTCATGTCCCCTGTGAGCACTGTATGTACATACACATAAAATAGAATAATTCAAAGCAAAACAAACCTTATTTTTTTTTTTAAGTACAACACTGGGAAATGGCCTACAAAAGCAATGCTTCTCTCTATCTCAAATATCCAGCTAAATAATTTTCAAAGACAGTTAAACAGTATTATAAAGTGAAAGGACCAAAAATTTTAGCAGAAAAATAAGCAGCGATGATTATCGTTTAACTCAGTATGAAAGAGGCATTAGAACTCCATTTGACATGGAAGTTGTTCTAGTGATTTTAACTGATCAGCCTCAGGCTGTGCAATATTTGAGATGTATGATACATAAGAAATGAACAAGTCACCTGTCCTCAGAGCGTATACAGGACTCACAGAGTCCTGTATTGGATTGGATTGGATGTGTAGCCAGTGGTAAAGCACTTACCTACCGCCTAAGGCCCTGGTCAATCCCTAGTACTACAAAAAATAACAAAACAAACAAAAACCCCAAAAGCCAAGATTAAAAACAAAACAAAACAAAACCAAACCCTCAATTAAAGTCAAGTCAACTGGGCTGGGGAGACAGAGAGCTTAGTGTTCCGAGTGCTTCTATGCCAGTTTGAGGATCACAGTGCGGACCCCCAGAAACCCATGTACTTGTCAGGTGGGTGCAGCAGCCCCTTTGTAATTCTAATTCAGAAAGGGAAAACACGGAATTCTCCAGAGCAAGATTTGCATATTGAAAGAGTTCTAGGTTTATCTGAGGAATCCCAACTCAATGAACATGGTGAAAGAATTATAGAGGGTTATTTCTGACATTAACTTCAGGCCTTCACATGCTTGTGAACCTACACACAAAGGCATACACACACACGCAAAAATTTCATACATACATCGATACATACCACACACATATGTGGAGAATGAAAAAAGGAAAAATACACCATGGATAAAATACTATAAGACCAACAGTGAGAAAGACAGCATTAAATATTTTCATAAGCAGTAAAACTACACTCCTCCAATGGGCCTCAGTCTAATTCGCTGACATTTCACATTGCCTCCTCCACTGTGTAAACCTAGTGCAGTTTTCTATTTGAACAGTCTTAAAACTACAATAAAGATGATTACCACTACAATAAAGATGATAATTTCCATCAAATATTTCTTAAATTTTCTTTTGCCCACTTTTTCGTGCCCATACTGCCTTATCTTTCCACCTCACCCTTTCAGTTTAAAGACTACCTCATTGTGAGGGAGGCTTTGCAGGTAGGAACAAGCATGACTCACTATGGAAATGGATTAACATTAATTTCCACTGGCAAGATGGAAAGATTGCACCCAAGACAAGGATTGCATTCTCAGAACTTGAGGTTCCAGATCTCTTAAAGCGTTACATGTCTGCACAAAGATGGGATGGCATTCCTTACAAAGCACTGCTACAATGTCTGACCACGAACACAAGAACCTACCACTTGGATAATGTAAGCAAATTAACTGAGAATACAAAATCAGACCAATACCGCATCAACCAGAGCAAGCTCCTGTGGCAGAACAGGAGAAACTGCAAGGGGAGTGCTGTTCCTCAGAGAAGTCAAAGTGGGATGCAGTTTTTAAAACATAAAATACCAACTCCAACCTGGATTATGTAAGAAACTGAAACCTACCTTTAGAAGTTTTAGAGAAATGATCACTTTAGGTATATCATTTAATGTACTAGATAGGATGCCAACACAAATAATCTTTGCTTTTGAATTTTAGAAAGACATAGTGAAGGAAACAAAGTAAAACATGATTTCTAAGGCAAAAGAATAAAGAACAGGAGAAAAATAATAAGACTCCATAAATGAGGCCCAGAGAAGCTGTCAGGGCCAAAGTCTGAGAGCTGTACACAGGGTACCTACAGCCACAGGCAGAAGTTTCCAGGGTGGCCAGGACAGCTAACAATTGATCAAAGATGTGATTCAGGCTGAGAATGTAGCTTACTACTAGGGCACTTGCTTAGCATGAACAAAGTCTTGGGTGTGACTCTCAGCAATCACCCAAAAGCATTTATTTAATTTTCTCACCCAAAAGCAGTTATTTAATTTTCTCTAAATACAATGATAGTTATGCAAAACACTCATGTTTCTGTTTTCTCACTCTACCTCAGTCCCATCCATCCATCCCCCTTCCATGCTAAGGACTGAAGCCAGGGTCAACCACAGAGCTATATCCTCAGTCATGGAAATGTCATTTCTATCATAAAGCCACACAAAGCTCAGGAAATATCCTACTTATACATATTTATTTGTCTAAGAATTTATTTTGCAGCTCTGGGGATTGAATGCAGAGTCTTGTACATGTTAAACAATCTCTCTACCACTGGGCTATTATCTCCAACAAGCTCTTTAAAACATAGATGAGTCATTTTTGCAAAGAATAAAAACATATACTTCTGCCTTATTAAAGAAATACCAACCAAACCATAGAACCTAACATATGAAGGACACACAAAACAAGTATGTATTACAATGAATGACAGCTCCAATGAGTGCACATTAGAATTCTGCTACTGTAATATGTAGTCATAAAGTCATTGTGTAATTCAAATGCTGATTTCTGTATCTGCACATATCTGGTTACAATCCCAGTTTTGAGAATCTCTTATCTCAATGTTGAATAAACTCTGCTCCCCAACTACCATGATATGCCAATAAAGAAGCTTACAGTCAATCCCTGAACAGTGGAGAGAACAAGGCTGAACTTCCTGCAAGCCAGAAGAGGAGTTAGAGGAGGAAGTAGGGGACTGAGCCACAGACAGAGGTCATCAGAAGAGGAAGTAGGGGGACCGAGCCACAGACAGGTCAGGAGACATCAAGACAAATGAGAGCATGAGGAGACATCATACAAGTTCAAAGATCCTTGGAGGCTAAGGCTAGGGATGCAGGTAATCCTACCACTATGCACAGAGCAGACCTCTTCCAGACAAAATAATTATCTAGGCTGAAGAGACGGCCCAGATATTAAGAGCACTGGCTGTTCTTCCAAAAGTCCTGAGTTCAATTCCCAGCAACAGTATGTTGGCTCATAACCATCTATAATGAGATCTGCTGTCCAATTCTGGCATATAAGCACACATGCAGGTAGAATATGACATGCTGGCTGAATGAATGAATGAATGAATGAATGAATGATCCGAAATATCAGTTGTGCTGGAACTGAGATGACCTGGCCTACAGTATAAAACGTTATAATCAATTTAAGGGACGGACACACACACACACAGAGACAGACAGAGAGAGAGAGAGGAGAGAGAGAAAGACATGCATGTACAGGCACACGTGCACATGAGAGTGTGTACCAAGGCATGTGTGTAGAGGTTAGAGGACAACCTGCAGAAGTTCTCTCCTTCCACTATGAGGGACCTGGGGATGGAACTCAGGTCATGAGGCTTGGAGGCAGGAGACCTCCCCACAAGGTGTCTCACCAGCCCACAATTCTTTTTCTATGTAAGAGTCCTGAGGACTGAGTAAGATAATCTCGGCACTTAGGAGACAAAGGCAGGTACATCTCTGTAGGTTTCAAGTCTTACCTGTCGAATGATACTTTTCACACAACGTACAGGGAGGCCTTGATAGTTGGATTTGATTATCCATTTGAGGAGGTGGTGGCCAAGTACTTCAAAGACCATGCAGACATCTGGGATGTGGTTAAGAAACATCTGAGAACACAGTTCTGAAGGCAGCCAGTTACTATCATTCTCACACTTGCAAAACGTTGTTTTCCTCATAAAATACCCTATCAATACCTTTAATGTGATCAGATGCTATTTATCAGCTAAATACAGAAGCTCTGACTTTTACCATTACGAACATCACATACACATTCAATACGTACAGCAAACTACTCCAGGAAATACAGACCTGCACCCACTGGTGGAGCAGAGTCAAGGAACTTGCGCCCTACCATCCAAAGGCCAGCCCATGCTTCCCCCTTTCAGCCCTGCCCACGGAGACTGGACAAGAATGAGCCTCATAGGAGCACAGTGGAGTAAAGTAAGAACCTGAAGAGCATGCATGAATTTCCACTTGACTACATATAACATATTACAAAAGAGTCTTCTCAAATACCTAAAGATTTATCATTAACCCTTCTTTTCCATCAATATCTTTCATCTATGCAACGTGTCACATAACTGTTATCCCAGTAATTGGGAGGTGACGGTAGGGGTATCAGAAATTGAAGAGTATCCTCAGCTACATAGCAAGTTCAAAACCAATCTGGGCTGTATGAGACACTGTCTCAATGAAAATCTATTAATTAATATTTCAATGTATAGTGTATTTGGGGCCAGGATATAATTATGAGAACATCACTATCATTCAAGGCCATACAAGTACCGAACAGAAATCAAGATCTCAAATAGGGGTTGGAGTTTTCCCTCTAATATATCTTCTGTAGGGCTGGGTTTGTAATAGGTATTGTTTAAACTTGTTTTTGTCATGGAATATATTATTTTTTTCATCTATGGTATTAAAAGTTTTGCTGGGTATAGTAGTCTAGGCTGATATCTGTGCTCTCTTAAGTGTCTGTAAGGTATCTGTCCAATAGGAACTCCAAAAGGAGAACAACAGAGCCAAAAATCTAGGCCCAGGGGGCCCGCAGAGACTGATACTCCAACCATGGAACTTGCATGGAGAGGAGCTAGAACAGAGGAAGCCTACTGGCTCTCAGTTTCCAGGTGGGTTCTCTAGTAAGGAATACAGGGACTGTCTCTGACATGAACTCAGTGGCTGGCTCTTTGTTCACCTCCCCCTGTGTGGGTGTGGGTGTGTAGGGGGGGGTGCAGCCTTGCCGGTCCAGGCCACAGAGAAAGATGATGGAGCCAGCCTTGATGAGACCTGATAGGCTAGGGTCAGATAGAAGGGAGGAGGTCCTCCCCTATCAGGGCTAGGGAAAGGACATAGGGGGAGGAGACGAGGGAGGGGGCTGCAGTGGGGATACAAAGTGAATAAATTGAGAAAGAGATAGAGATAGAGAGATAGAGAGAGAGAGAGAGGGAGAAAGAGAGAGAGAGAGATCTGTCCAAGCCCTTCTTGCTTTTCAAATTTCTGGCAAGAAGTCAGGTATGTGGTTCTGATAGGTCTGCCTTTAAACGTGACTTGACCTTTCTCCAAGCCCACTATCGCATTACCATGAGCAGTCAAGATATAGAAATGGCCTACTCAGTGGTTAACTGCATTAGCTATTCTTCTAGAGGTCCTGAGTTCAAGTCCCAGCAACCACATGGTGGCTCACAACCATCAATAATGAGATCTGGTACCCTTTTCTAGCATGCAGGCACACATGCAGGCCAAATACTGCCTAATAATAATAAATAAGTATTTTAAAAAATGGCCTGCATGTCTACTACTGGATGAACTGATAGAGAAACTGTGGTACACATACACAATGGAATGTTATTCTGTGAGAAAGCAGTAGGTGTTTTTAAAACAAAAAACCCACATTTATTAGAAATGTGTGCTGCTTAATTTTTTTCTTTTTCAGTAACTGAATACAACTATCAAAAAAAGCCCAGCCATACTGTACTTGGTCCAGTTCTGTGAGGGCGGTGGATTGACTGATGGACTGATTGATTGACTGACTGATTGACTGATTTTTTTTTTTGAGGCAAGGTCTCACTATGTAGCTCTGGCTGGTCTGCATAGTGAGTTACAGAGAAACTTAAACCCCACCTGCCTCTGCATGATGCGACTGAAGCCATGTGCTACCACAAATATGTGCTTCCACCTTAAAGTGTTGTAATGACCCTGGGGTTCACTAATTCAATTAGACTAGGTAGTCAATGAATTTTTAAAATGATATTTTTAGCTCTTCATTTTTTAGGATTCTTATACGTATATTGGTGTTTTGCCTGCATGCACGTGCCTGCATGCACATGCCTGCACATGTATGCTTGGTGTCCCCAGAGGCCAGAAGAGGCATCAATCTACTGGGACTCGGAGTTGCCGACACTTATACTCTACAATATAGGTGCTGGCCCTCTGCAAGAGCAGTCAGTTATCTTAACTGCTGAGCCACCTTTCCAGCCCCACTCCGTGGATTCTGTTAAAGCACAGAAGCTCACTGCTGTGGCAATGCATCAGGGAGGCAGAGGCAGGCAGACGGCTGTGAGTTTGAGGCCAGCCTGGTTTACAAAGTGATTCCAGGACAGCCAGAGCTACACAGAAAAACCCTGTCTTGGAAAAACTGAGGAGGAGGAGAAAAACGAGGAGGAGCAGGAGGAGGAGGAGGAGGAGCAGGAGGAGGAGGAGGAGCAGCAGCAGCAGCAGCAGCAGCAGCAGCAGCAGCTCCATTCTACTCACTGACCCTCTCAGTCAGTGAGTTCGTAACAGTAGGAAAATTACAGTTAGGAAGGAGCAACAAAATTAATTTTATGGCTGCGGTCACCACAATATGAGGAACTATATAAAGGGTTGCAGCATTTGGAAGGCTGAGAACCACTGCAGATAGCCAGCAAACAGATCATACACATTAATTCACAAGAGGATTTTTAAGTAGTTCTGCAACTCTTTGAAAATACTGGTTCACTGCCAGAGGCTTATGGTTGGTCTTAGTATCACGAAAGGGTTTACTCATTATTTTTATTTATTTATTTTTATTTTTATTTTTTTATCCAAAATGTGTTTATTGGGATGGCTCCCACTCGTCCTGAATCAGGTGCAGTCAGTGCTGCTTCCTCCTGAAGGAGCATCCTTCTGTCAGCCTTGCTTTTCCGCCAGTAGGCTGACAGAGAGCAGTGGAGCAGCCAACACACAATACTACCGTTTGTGCATGGCTAAAGACCGTGGTGATTTTATAGCACCCTGGACATTTCACATCCATAAAGTAGGAATTGGGGCTCTGCACCAGGCACTTTTTCTTGTCTTTCCTCTTCTCCTCTTCTGGAGAGGGATGAAGGAGATCCTTTGCGAGAGGCATGTTCTCGTAAGGAGGTCATAACTGTCCTTACGTAATATGTAGATTCACATTATCATCATGATAGCTATTAATTTAAATATTTCAGTTAAAATTTTCTTAAATGTTTTTGCTCTGTTGAAGAATGTGTATACTACATGTAGTCTGCAAAGATGAAGTTTTACTCATCTCATTACAAAATCTCATGACAAAAATTAGAAACTAAAATCTAATGTTAGTGGCAGATACAGTCCTTGATATTTCCAAAGACTCATATCTCCTCAAAGTATTGACAAATCCAGACTATGACCATAAACACATACACACACTTCCCTTAAACTCTACAAATCATGTATTCTATTTAAAGAACCTTTCCCTTTCCCTTCTCCCTCTCAGAAAAAGCTCTACCAGTTTAACACACAATGAGTGGAGCCGCCATGACCTACACAGAAAAGCTCACATGGACACGTGAGCACACAGAGTGCAGCCTATCTGCCTACCTACTCGCCTACTGTTTGGGAGAATGAACTTACCAGTTACCAAGAGGCAGCTGGGTTTTGTACTCTCCAATATCCCTGAGTAAAATTGCTTTCTTGTTTTGTTTTTGTTTGGTTTGTTGAGACAAGCTCTCATGTAACTCAGGCTAGCATCGAGCTTGCTTCGTGGTGAAACTGACTGAACTCTTAAGCCTTCTGTCTCAGCCTCCAGAGTGCAGAGATTATAGGTAGAGGCCACCATACCGGGCTGGGAATTTCATTTATCTATCTATCTATCTATCTATCTATCTATCTATCTATCTATCTATCTAT